TGGAACACCTCCCTAGGAAGGCGCCCAGGAGGCATCTGAAACAGATGCCCGAGCCACCTCAGCTGGCTCCTATCGATGTGGAGGAGCCAGTGGTTCTACTCTGAGCTCCTCCCGGGTGACTGAGCTCCTCACCCTATCTCTAAGGGTGCGCCCGGCTGCCCTGCGGAGAAAGGTTTATTTGTTCAGAAATGTTTGACTTAGTTTGACTTGATGTTAGCAGCTCATTGGAGCTGAATGGGTTAGAGCCCCATGACAGCATCAGGTGAAATCCACAGGACTGTGAAGTATTTCAGTATTTCCTGAAGAACAGATGTATTTTTTCAAGACCAAAGTAGAACAAAGAACCAAAGGCTCTAAACTTTAATATTAAAAACTTGCCTACAACCAGTAAGTACATCAGGAAACGTGTAGGACCAGATGACATGACCAGCTCTGCTGTGTCTTCAGGATTATTTGGGAAAAGTTCATTAAACTAGAACTTGGCCTTTTTCTTTAATAACTGTTGGACCTGAAGCCGCCGCTGCCGGAGGAGGATTACCCCGTGGATGGACCAGGTGACAACAGTGATGCTGTCTTCGCAATGGTACAACACACACACACACACACTTATGCTGTGTTTTCAGGATCTCAGAATCTGCTTTATTGGCCAGGAGTGTTGGGAACATGAGGAATTTGACTCTGGTACATCAGCTTTCAATGTGCATGTACATATCCTCATGCAAGGGGCAAGTAAACGGTAAACCAGCATAAATCAAATCAAATTTTATTTGTATAGCGCCAAATCACAACAAAAGTCATCTCAGGACACTTTACAGAATAAGGTCTAGACCTTACTGTTATCAATATTATTACAGAGGGAACACCAACAAATCCCCCTTAAGCAAGCACTTGGCGACAGTGGGGAGGAAAAACGCCCTTGTCTTTTAAACAGTTCAGTTTCATTTCTGAGTTGGAAGAAACCTCTGACAGACCCCGGCTCTTGGTGGGCGGCCTTCTGCCTCGACCGGTTGGGGTGAATGGATAGAGGAGAGACAAAAGAAGAAAAGCAACAAGACACAACAAACAATCAAACACTGGTCAGGTTGATGTGGCTGGTGACTGCTCATCAGGTGAGTGGATAGAGGAGAGACAAAAGAAGAAAAGCAACAAGACAAAACAAACAATCAAACACTGATCAGGTTGATGTGGCTGGTGAATGCTTGTCAGGGACGCAGAACTCCAGGGCCAGGGCAACCTGTAGAAAGGTACAAAGAGAGAGAGAGGACACACTACGGGAGAGAGGAGACACAAAGTTAGTGATGTGTAATGGTGGCAAATAGAAGGATGGAGAGAGGACAGGACAGGAGAGGAGAGGAGCAGGGAGGGGAGAGAAACTCAGAGCATCATGGGGCCCCCCAGCAGCCTATGGCAGGAGAAATAAGAATCTTGAACTGAGACTGGGAGTTGGTTCCATAAGAGAGGAGGCTGTGTAATATAACAAAATAAGCAGTATAAAAAGGCAGTGCGATTCCCTGAGCTCAATGACCCCCCACCCCCCCCACACACACACACACACTTTATTCCTTGTGGGGACTTTACTTACATTCATTTCCTATAGACTTATCCTAACCTTAACTATAACCACTACTTGCGTAACCCTGACCCTAACCTTAAGCCATGTTGTCACCCTAAAATTCAATGATTTTCAGGCCAAGTCCCCACAATGTAAGTGTAACAGGTTTCGGTCCCCATAATGTAAGTAATACAAAGGCACCCAGACAGAGACTGAGCTAATGTCATGTGCCACATCTGTCACTGTTGTTATGGCTTAGTCCCAGGACTGACCTGAAGGTTTCCACCATATTTATCTGGGTTTGTACCTGGTTCCCTTCCCAACATCCTCAGCAGCAGGTGGGTGTGATTCCCTGAGCTCAGTGATCTCCCCTGGTTTTGTTTCCGAGGTGCAAGAGAACCTGGGCCCTTTCTTTTCCTCTGTGAAATCCTCAGCCAGAAGATTTGGTGTGTCACATTTAACCAGGCTCTGATTTTGGACCGGCTGAGGAACATTAAAATCAGGACTACAGTGTCTGCTTAGATTAGTGAAACTGTTTACTTAGCATTTTTACGCCTCAGGGTCTTTTACAACTGGTCCAGAGTGCTGGTGCTGGGATCTAGACCAGGTCTTCAAAGGAGGAGCATGTAACACCAGCCCTGACCTCTTTACATGGCTCCCTGTTAAATTAAAGCTTCAATTCCAGATCCTTGTGATGAGGTCTCAAGCGCTGCCTGGCCACACACCTGTCTGCTTTAAACAGAGAACAGGAACTGTGACAGTTCAGGAGGGTGTTGCTTGGCAGTGCTCCTCATTGAGGGAAGGACAGGCTGACACCTGCAGCCCCACCTGAGTGATGAAGAGGAGGCCGGACCCAGGACAAGATGCTGCCCTTCACACTGAGACTGAGCCTTCAAGCCCAACATCCAGAGACACGGAGATCTCTGACTGCTCAGACCTGTTTTCAGGCCCCAGACACGTTGGTCCCCCATGTGAGGATAGGTCGCACCTGTCTGCTGTGACCTGATGTCACCAGCAGGTCTCAGTGCTCCTCTCATCAGGGCTTGTTTTGGTTGATACTCGCTCCAGACTCCAAACTCGAGGAAACGGAGACTCTGAAGTCACACCTCCTAAACTTTGGACACCGAGAAAGAGCTCTAGAAACGAAACCCGTCTGTTTGGACTGTTTACACTTTGAGTGCTGTTCCTTTTAGCAGTTTTCATCTCTGTTTAATTGTAACTTTTATAACTGCATCTCCATTTGCTTTGTCTTGTTTTATCTTTTATTGTGAAGCACTTTGAGACATCTGACCCAGAACTTTACTTATTTACTCACTGCAGCTTCCACCTTTGCCCCAGAGGGTGATGGGAAATGGAGTTTCTGAGGAAAGGTTGTTGCTGCAGCCCAAGACCTGGAGACACAATGTGACTCAAGAGACTCAGGACGTGAGTCAAACCAACTATCTGTGCTAAAAATAACAAAACAAAAACAAATATAAACAATTAACCATAATTAGTACGACAAATGTAATAACCTGTGTGAGCAAGAAGAAACAAGGGAAGACAAGACAACTTGTAAAGCTGAAACAAATAGTCATCATCTTTCAAGGTGAAACCCAGATTTGAACCTTCTTCTTTGTGTGTTCCAGTCGTTTGCTGTCGGCCACAGGAGGAACATCTCTGACCTCACTGAGGTGTCCAGTAGAAGGCCGTCCCCTGACAATCCACAGGTAGGCTCTCACCTGGCTGTTTCACTGCTTCATTCAGACCCGTCACCACTATCTTGTGCCCATCAGTCATTCACTCATTTGTTCATCTTTGCTCCTTGTGATGCCATCCTGTTCTTCCTCATCAAGCTCTCTGATAGGCACAGACTGAAGAGGAACCTGTCCAATCGGAGCACAGACTCCCACCAGAAGCACGTAGGTCCTGGTCTCTGATTGGCTGCTGAACTTGCTTGGTGTTGGCTGGGATGTCTCTGTCAGAAATCAGTGGTTGTTTCAATGGTGACGGTGTCACATGTTCTGCAGTTGCTATAGAAATGTGTTAACAGCAGGCCTGGTTCTGCTAACTGTTTTCATCACACCGGGAGACTCAAACAGACATCTTCTTTTCTAAAACAGTGAGCTGTTGTTTTTAAGGGAACTTTTTGGGCCTCTCAGACAGACAGCGCCTCCTGCTGACTCTCCTCAGTATTAGAGCTTCAGTCTCAGCCGGATGATTCAAGATGTTTTAGATATTCCTGAAGGTTTTTATACATTGTCTTGAAACATCCTGATGTGACTGTAATGGACAGTTTGGCCTATAACACATTAGACTTTGTTTTTTGCCCAGAAAGTTGACCTGTGTTTTTTTTACCAATCCTCCTAATCTGGCCTCTGTTGATGGTTCTCCAGGGGTGATGCTGACAAACTAATTGATCTTCTGTTTGTCCACTGAAGAATTTGTTACACACTGATCACATTTTAACCCGAGTGTTTTTCACAGTGCTACAGCAGCAGCCTGGTTCTAGGGTCCAGTGCGTCGGTCCAGACTGAAATGTCTCTGGGTGGACTGTCATGACATTTTGTACAGACATTCACGGTGACACATGAATGCCACAAAATACAAGTGAAATATAAAGTAGATAAATAAGTAACACAAAATCTAATGCACTTTAAGCAGCAAATGCAGCAATATAATAAAAATATATAAGAATATAATAGAGAATGTATGCTGCATGGGAGCAGCATGTGCAGCAGTCAACAGTCAATGTGCAATTATGCATGTGCAAACTGAGAATGTAAACAGTGCAGGTCGACAGTACATTACGTATTTCCTGGTAATAAACTCCTCAGGTGTTTAGCAGTTTGATGGCAGAGGGAAAGAAAGAGTTTTTCAGTCTAGTGGTCCTGCATTTCAGCAACAAGTAGATGTGGAAGTAAATCAAATCAAATCAAATCAAATTTTATTCTATAGCGCCAAATCACAACAAAAGTCATCTCAGGACACTTTACAAAGTAAGGTTTAGACCTTATTAATATTATTACAGAGGGAAAACCCAACAAATCCCCCTTGAGCAAGCACTTGGTGACAGTGGGGAGGAAAAACTCCCTTTAACGGAAGAAACCTCAGACAGACCCCGGCTCTTGGTGGGCGGCCTTCTGCCTTGACCG